TTCTGTCCAGTCCACTTGTTTTATTACATTTAACCACAGCTGTCGTTGTTTTTTTGTCTGGCAATGGCAGCGGGTATGTGATAAAATTTCAAATTGGAGCGTCTACTCCATCGATTCTGACACTCAAAGATGACATTTTAAGCTCCTTATGTAGCCGACTCTGGTTTGTATTGGCCGCCTCGTTATTCCTTTGTTTTGCCTCCAGCTAATAATGTGACGTAATTGTGACATCGGCACTATTCAGGGTCTATTCAGTGAAAAAGGCGGTCGTTCTTAGTTTTTTGTCTTTGTAGGGAGGTCTTTGTTTTTTATCATATGACAGGTGACTGGATGCAATGGGTTGAAATTCCAAATGACTCTAAAGTTATCCAGTATGCCAGGCTGCCTTGCATTGCTAATTGCAGTCCAGTGTCATCTCTAGTGCCACCTATGCTTGCACCCGAAATATCTTCCATCCCTTTGCCAGACACAGATGTCAGAATTCTCTTCAGTCTGTTTCTTAACAACATGGACTAGAAGCTCTGGCAGGAAGCCCTGTTTGAGCAGGTGCCTGTCAAAATCTTTCACTCTCCAGAAATGTGCATAGTGTGCATTAGCTGCCATGGAGAATGCCCTAAAGTGAAAAACTAATGGACAGCTAATGGTCATGTGCTACATAAACCTTAATGGTGCAGATTTGTTTACGTCAGCACAATGAATCAGACTGACATTATCTAATTTTTCAAGAGATAATTTTGTCAATATCATGCAATTACGGACCATGATATAACAGTTATATACTTTTACTCAGCAAGAATGCATTACATTGAACAAAAGTTACAGTAAAGACATTTATAATGTTACAAAATATTTCTATTTCAAATAAATGCTGTTCTTTTGAACTTTTTATTCATCAATAAAAGTAAGAAAAAAAAATGTATCACGGTTTCTACAAAAATGAGCAGCATATTAGATTGATTTCTGAAGGATCATGTGACACTGAAGACTGGAGTAATGATGCTGAAAATTCATCTTCGTAATCACATGAATAAATTACAATTTAAAATATATTTAAATAGAAAAACATTATTCTAAATTGTAATAAAATGACAATATTACTGTATAGTATTTGCAAGATGTTTTTGATGTTAGCTGCTGTTGAACTGAACTCCTCTAAAAAGAAATCTCTAAGCCCTATGGCCTGTTTTGACAGTCAAAGGCATTGAGAGAGCGATGGCTGTTGGACGGAGCGCCATCCAGTGGAGAGGACGAGGCACAGAAACAACTACAAGAGGATGAAGCCAAGACCAAACTACTGGAACAGACCATCCTCAGGTTAAGACCAGTCATTCAGTCATTTTATACCTTCCTTAGTCCCAGAACATTGCTCATGTTCACTTACCTTTTTTCATTAACAGACTAGAACAGGAGATTGATGAGCTTGAGCGTGGCGTGCCTTTGAATAAAGGAGAACATGTAAGCTATGAACTTTGCTCAGTCTGATTTTTAAGTATATTGTGCATGTCTGTTTAGTTTAGTGGAGGTTTTAATGCCAATAATAATAATAATGAATTTCTGTCATATGCCTTCTCTACTAGTCACCTGATGGCCCAGTGAAGGGTGAGTGTGAGAATATGCTGTATATTTTAATATTTGAGTTCTCCATCATCTCTGTTTTCACAAGCTATATAAATATAACAAAAAGGATTGACTTGTTATCAGTTTGTTTGCAGTTATGGTCTCTGTGTAATTTCACTGTTGTCATGTGAAAGAGCCAACGTTGGTATAAACAGTAGTGCAAGTTAAATGAGTCTCTTTCTCTGTCCCCAGCAGTTGAGAATGGCATACAGCAGCCCAGCCCTAACGCAGATCAGAATAGCAAGAAGCAGATCACAGGCATCGAGGCCAAACTGCAGTGCACCAACCCTGATGTAGCCATTGAGAATGCCAGCGCAGATCATCCCGTCACCATGGTGTTCATGGGCTACAAGAATGTAGAGGATGAGGCTGAGACCAAGAAGGCACTGGGCATAGAGGAGACAGTGAAAGCTGAATTTGTGGTCATTGAGGACGGCGAGAGCAAAGGCGGAAACGAAGGAGCCAAAGAGGACCAGGCCCCACCTAACGGCAGCGCCTCCAGTCCTGACAAATCTCAGGACGAGGCCAAGAAGGAGGAATCGAAAGAAGAAGGTAATTCAAAAGAAAAGCAGCCTTGCAAGTGCTGCACAGTCATGTGAGGGCGACCGCTCACCCTGAAGTTTAGACTCTGATGGAAAACTGACCCCCGACCATAACACAACAATGAATAAGTATACCCCGTATACTTATAATTAACTTTTGTTGTCTAGTATGTATTTCCTTTTTTTTTTCTATTAATATTTTTCTATATTTCTGTCTTGACATTTATATATCTATATATACATATATTTTCATTATGTAATCTTATGAAGTCCAGTATTTTGTTTGTTGAAGAACAGAAAAATGAGGACCACAACAGACTCAACATGGTTAAAAGAACATTTTTGTGGCCCTCATCCTTATTTTGTTTTAAGAAAAATAAGATGAACATTTCAATATATATGAAATAGCTATTTATCTCCCGTATACATTCGTGTTTCTAAGATATTACTTTATAACAGAAGACATGGCTATATTGATATTACAATATTATGCTTTTAATATATATTTTGAGCCTTTTGTTTTGTTTATTTTATTTTATTTTATTTATTTTTTTTGTTGCCAAATCATCTCAGACCACTGTGAACACTGTTACATGGAGTGTCGTCTTTGTCCACAATCATACATTCTGCTTTACACCTCGTAGTAGGCCAATATGTTTGTAAATATGATGCAATTATTTATGACTGTTCATGCTATGATAGTATACATGTAATCATGTTTTTATTAAAATAAGCTGCAGTGATTACCCTAGATCCCAGTCATAACCACAGCAGATATCTGTTTGAACAGTAAATCACTTTTTACAAGATACCCATTTTAAACCCTTTTAAATCACTTTTCTACATGAATGATAACATTGTTAGATATAACTGTAATCAATATTATTTTTTGAAAATTTAGTAACATTGCAATGCCTCATATTACACGTAGCCCATATTATTAAAAGCCATTCTTACAGTATGCAAAATATATCTTTATATCATTTGAAAAAAAAAAAAGAAATGTGTGAAATTGAGGGGTTTTGGTGTTAAATGGGTTGCTGTAAGTTGGTATGCCCTCAATTAAACAAAAGTCCAATATCCATGTTTCAATGTTCAGGCAGTTCATTCACAATGATGAATCATTCATTAGTGTTAGTTCAAGATAAACAGTCTGGGTCTAAAACATGTTTCTCATTCTGAGATCACAGCTTTGTAAGTGTAGTTTTGCCGTCTTTCTGATATTTCAATTTAATGAATTATTTCATTTTGTGTAAGACAGTATGTGTTGTGGATATCAAATAATGTCATGAGTTATCGGTGCTTTATTGGTATGGCCAATGCCTGTTATGGCCCAAGTGTTTAAATCAGGAACAATGACAATAAACAAAAAATTTTTGTTTACAGTAATGCATTGGTAATTCTTTGGTAATTACATTTTTACTCACCTGCAGTCAACAAAGTCTGACACAGTTACAAATGGCAGTCATTTGGAAAATGAATTGTTTTCATTTCCCTAGTGACAAAATTTTTGCATTCTGTATGTTTGATGATGATATTGTCTATTCTAGAGAAAGAGTTTCTGTGAACTCATTTAGTTCAATTTAGCCATTACTGTTATTGTTTCAGGTGTAATAACTTCAAAATCGATATCAAATTTGATTCATGATTGCAGAGTAGTCAACAGACAGATATCCTGTCAAAAAAACACATTTGAAAGGGACCCATGTGAGCCTCAAAAAACTTTCTAGTCTATGAAGGTTGCCATCTGCAGGCTGAAATCTAATTTGGCTACCTTTAAGCAGAAGTTTGTAGGCTAAAGTGATGCTACTCTCTACTACTGTCATGTTATATTCAGAACTGGTGTCAGGGGGGAACAACCGGAACGTTGTCTTGGGCCCTGTGATGAGTGGGACCAATTGTGGTATAGGCTACTGGCTTACTGGGTCTGAAGAAGGGGAGACCCACCCATTAAACCTTTTCCCAGGCACATACATTTGAGTGACAATGCTGATTATATTAGCATTCCACAAAGATGGTAGATAAATCACTCAAAGATTTTGACCTGAATACATAGGTAGTAACAATATGATGATTTTAGGTATCTTTTGTCATTCATCTCAATGACAAAATGGCGTATGTTAAAGTGACAGCTCGCCCAAAAATAAAAATTCTATCATTTACTCATCCTGTGTTGTTCCAAATCAAGTGTTGTACACTTTCTAAGCTTTATTTCTTCTGTGAAAACACAAAGGTTTTTTTTTTTTGTAGAATGTTGCGCTGGATAAGCACTGATACGCTTCTCATAGTATCTCCTGTGTTACTCAGAAGGAAATTTTTAATTTTTGGGTGAAACCCCTTTAATTCACACTAATCCATATTGTAAAACAATTAAATGTGCTAGAAGTGGTTAATGCTGATCAATTAATTTGCTCAGTGTCTTTAGGTTTTTTAGTCATTTAAATTTTAGACTTAATAACAGCCTTTTCCACCATTTATGCCTTTTCCACCCAAATCTCTATTTTCTTCAGATATCATTATAATCTTACTTAATTTAAATTTTACTTATTAGTAAATTAAATATCTTAGCAATGCGTCATGTGAAACTTTTTCTCTGTGACTGAACAGCCTCGTCCTTGCCGTTGCTGATAATGGGTTCAAGCACAGTTCACTCCTCCACTTCATTTCTCATGGTGGCAACCGGGAAAAGTTTTCGCTAACTTTTTTCGACCGCCTTTCCAGATTGACAGCCCTTCTATCCAATCCTGTTGTCGAAGAACTTTTGAGGTCCCTCCCACACTCGGCGCTCCAGGGTCGATTGACTAATCAGAAAGCGCCAATCCCCCCTCCGCCATTTTGTAAGGATATAAGAAATACTAGCAAGTCTACCTCCCATCTACGACAACCTGTAGTTTTGTGTAGTGCCATGGACGGGTAAGTTGAAAACACCCTCATTCCAAGTGTGATACCCCTTAAACACGTTTTTGTCTTTGGATATTTTATACATAGTTGTGACTTAATACGTTATGAACGTTTAAAGTGGGTTAAATGACATAAATTGAAGAGGAAATGGTGATTTTTGACTCGTCTCAGCCGCTCTTCATGTCTCCCGTGCCGGAAGAGACCAAAAGTTGGACCAAACTGACCAGCAACCTGTTGCAAGTCGTGTAGTTGAGACAGTTTCATGAAACACAAACGAACTAGAGCTACGGGATTTTTTTTAACCGCACTCACAAGCAAAAAGGATCAAACGAGGCTTGTAACGTGCAGAAGCGATAGAACTGCCAGTATTTCGCAAGCAACGTGTCTCCGTTTCCGCATTGTTGTTGGGTGGCTAGCTAATTACCTGCTAGCTTGCTAAGCCGACGCCAGTTCAACTTTATTCTAGCTTTACTCGTTTGTATTGTCGATGCATGTTAAATACTTTTAAATCATTACTAACGTTAAGTACGTTTGAGAAACGTACGAAAGTCCGATTACAGTAACTGTTTTACATAATGACGCGGAGATGTCACCCGTGTTTCAGAAATAATATTTTTAAAAGGTTTTGAAATAAATAAAACGTTTGAGTAGTAACTTTTTATTTGCATGTAAGTATAATCAGAAAAAATTAAGAATTATAAGTATGTACATGCTTATGCTGATTATAAAAGGTACGTTATATTCGCAGGGGATATTTTGCCTAAAATGTAAATTTTTGTCATGTTACTCACCATGTTTCAAACCTTTTATGAATGTATTTCTTTGTTAAAATATAAACAGACCTGTCATTGAGCCTAACATCTCCTTTTGTATTCAGTGGCAGTTAGAAAAACGTACAGGTTTAAAACATTATGAAAAAAAATCCTGTTTTTTGTTTTTTCTTCTGCAGCCGTTTAGACACTGATCTGTATCCTCTGGGATCCAGTTACGTCACTGAAATAGAGTAAGTTTTGCATTTCTATAAATATGCACTGGTTGTACTGCATTGTCACCTAAATTGACCTAAACTGAAGAATTCAAGATATGTTTCCAAGAAAAGTGTGAAAAAGACTGATACCGTTGATTGGCAGAAAGAGTGGCTTAATAGGCCTGCTTTGTTTTACTGTTTGCCTTGTGTATCAGGTTGCCGCCTAGAAGGTGCAGCTTTAAAATGCAACTCTTGTTTTGTACAACAGCCGTCTGTTGTTTCTCCTGGGCCCATATTCTGTTTGCGAATATAAATCTATAATATAATATAAATCTACATTAATACATGACAATTTTGTATCAGTAAGTGCACCTATTGGTCTTAAGTCCTGTTCACACTGACGAAATCATTGAAGGATGGCAAGTCGCTGTATCAAACTCTATCTGGCAGTGCTGTCTGCACTCACGTTGCTAGTCGCTGCATTGTTGCTGATTATCAGCATAGAGTTGAACAGATATCATTAGTTTTCAGTGAGAGTTGCTGATTTTGTTAGTGATGCACAGTGATTTGGTATTTTTTAGTATGCATGCGAAGTCAGCATAAAATGAAAATTCACTTTTTTTTTTAAATCTCAATTTATTAAAATCGTAAGTTAGTTTTCCTATGAAATGACAGACTTCTCCAGTTATTTACTGCATTTAAACCTATTGTTTAACTGATGGGTAGAACCAAGTGTCCACCCTACTTTTTTCAGAAGTCCATTTCAGTCTGATTTACGTCACAATACAGAAGAAAAAAAATTGTCCCTACTTCTGTTACATCGCAACTTTAAATACTGCATAGCCCTTTATTTAGCTACATTGCCATCAGTTGTGGTTGAGCATCTACACTTGTGTATTTTCTGATATTCTGTTTAACTTTTATTTATTTTTTTCTTTTGTAGCAGTGTCCATGATATAACAGTCGGCACAAAGGTATGTCATTTTTATTTTTTCCTTCACATTTGTTCTTCATATTTGTTTGTTGCGGGTGTTCAGTAACAATACTAGTTTAGGTTGTATATCTGGTTTTAGAGGTTGTACGTTCCTCATTCTTTTTTTCTAAATTGCTGAGACAGAGGGAACTGCTCTAAATTGCTGAGCCTGAAATTCTTGTCCCATCTGCATTTGATCCTGCAACTGTATTTATTCTAGTCAAAGGTCACCTGCTGTTTAAACAATCACTGTGATAAATGACCCAAAGGTGAAAGTAGCCTACACTAAAATCTTGTAATTGTTCTGTAGACAATTAATAAATTGTAACCTGGGGAATTTAGTTTCTACTTGTTATATTTTGCAACTAGCGATTTTGCTCCATACAGTTTATTTGTTTACAATATTGCTTTTTTTCCCACACTTATTTGCATGTGTTTGTGCATGGAGAGAGACTGCCTGCTGTTGTTTCCCCTGATGTCTTTCACACATCCGAGGAGGAGTAGAGATGTAGTAGATTGAATTTCAGCCCTGTCGGAGTCTGAGCACTAATTACTGTGGCTGGAATGCTGTGGTTGCATTCCTGTCTCCCTGACCCCCTTATTCAACACAGACTGTGCTCTCACCCAGGAGGCTTGCACTTTGTCAATGAATGTAAACATGTTGGCACCTGCAAGTCTTGAGCTCCTAGAGACCAATGTAGGAGTCATGGTTCTCGGCTCCTTTTTTCCCCCCTGTCCTAAGCGAGTACTCAATCTGCAATGCCCCGCAGTTAAAAATAGAGGAAGGAAATGCTGGAGTTGGGTGGATGTCTAGCTCAAAAACAATGGATGGTTCAACCAAAGAAGGCTTTCCTGTCATAACTGCTCTGTGCAAGTGATGTTGAAACCTGAGTCCTGCAGGTTTTAGCTGGGAGGAATGTAATGTCCTCTTTTTCTTTTTTTTTGTTGTTGTTGTTGAAGAAATGCCATGCCACGTAATCTCTATCCAGTTGTTTTTTCCTTCAGCACAATATTGTTGACTGTTTATGCTGTAGGCTGCTTATTGAGCCTTTGGGGCTGTGTTTAAGGTAAACTTTATCCAGGGTGTGGTAAAGTGCCCTTGAGGCTGTTTGTAGTAGACTGGGGGGCAGGGGGGGAATCATCCCGAGGACCAGGCGTTCAGCTTTGGTAACAATACTTTCCTTTTGGCTGGAACAGAACACTCATTGTGGTAATAGAGTGTAAAGGCTTTGGCTTATCCAGCGCATGTGACCACTTCAGCAGAGACTTGCCATTTGAAGTGGTTTATTAAGAGAGTAATGCTGAATGATTTGCTCATTGGCCAGCCAAGTGGCTCCAGCTTGGCCTTGAGTGAGAGACTTTGTGTTAGTGTTATGGCAGGACACAGCTGCCTCTGTTTGAGTTTCTTTTTCTTTGTTCTGCTTTTACCAGCAGTAAACTGTGTAGTGCTCTCTTGTGTGTAGATGCCTGGGCCAAGAGTTGTTGTAGTTGTAACCATTAGGCAATGAAAATTGTTTGATTTTTGTCACTTTGGAAATGGATTCCAATTGCGTCATCTTAATGATTGTGTAATCAGATGATGGTTAGGTGGATGCTATTCTTTGTGACATGACTTTCTATAATTCTGTGTCCGATGATAATTTAACCCTTGCAGGCATGCCTCTGTGCCTCATTTCTTTTTTTTTTTTATGGCAATATCTCGTCTTTCTTATTTTTATTTATTAATTTTTTTTACAATCATTGTCAGTTACGTGACCTTATTTTTTTTTCATACACTACTGTAGATGGTTTACATCTTGGTATTGCTGTGTGTTTAGATTCTTCTGTTTTGAGGTTTGAGTGTCCTATTAACCTTGTAAGTGCGTCCTGCTTAATAAACCACTTCCCTTGTCCTTTCAGAGGGGATCTGACGAACTCTTTTCCTCTTGCATATCTAACGGCCCTTATATAATGAGCTCTGGAGCAGGTAGGAATTTATGACTCTTTTTATCAAAAGTAGATCAAACTGATTTCAAACAAATGCTATTTGTTTGAACTTTGTTCATCAAAGAATCCTGAAAAAATGTATGAGTTTCCACAAAAATATTAAGCAGCACAACTGTTAACATTAATAGTAATAACAAGAAATGTGTTCTTGAGCAGCGAATTGGCGTATTAGAATTTCTGAAGAATGTGACACTGAAGACTGGAATAATGGCCGCTGAAAATTCAGCATTGCCATCACAGGAATGTTGTTGCGTCATTTAAACTATTACTGTGGAAAAAAAAAATAAAAATTCATACTGATCCCAGACTTTTTAATATGTATTGACGTTCTTGAGAATGAAATGAAATTGAGATGGTCTCTTTCTGTCAGCAAATGGTAATGACAGCAAGAAGTTCAAAGGGGACATCAGGAGCCCAGGCATTCCTTCACGAGTCATTCATGTACGCAAACTGCCAAATGACATAAATGAAGCAGAAGTCATTTCTTTGGGGCTTCCCTTTGGCAAAGTGACCAACCTTCTGATGCTGAAAGGAAAGAACCAGGTAAAAATCCCTGCTTCCTTTCATTTCCCACAAAATAAGATTACCCTGCTTTGACGTACATTATTGTGCCCGGTCTTATTGTGTTATCTCCTCACAGGCCTTCCTGGAGATGAACACTGAGGAGTCAGCACAGACCATGGTCAGCTACTACTCCTCTGTCACCCCTGTCATCCGCAACCACCCGATCTACATGCAGTATTCCAATCACAAGGAGCTAAAGACTGACAACTCACCCAACCAAGTTGTGAGTACAAATTACATCACATTAGGCATTCGATCAAGGGCAATTACTCAATATAAATTACTCTTTCACGACTGATAATGTGTACTTGTGCTCTGCCTCCTCAATTCCCATAGAGAGCACAGGCAGCACTGCAGGCGGTGAATGCGGTCCAGACGGGAAGCATGTCTTTGAGCACGGTTGATGGAGCAGGCATGGGGAGTCAGAGCCCAGTGCTGAGAGTCATTGTTGAAAACCTCTTCTATCCAGTTACTCTTGATGTCCTTCACCAGGTACTAACTGTACTTCAAACTAAATTGAGGGAAAAATGCTCTCCAAAACGCTAGATTTATTTCCAGGCCTTTAAAACTATAATTATCATCATTATTAATAATATATTTTTAATATCCTCTACTAAGATCTTCTCAAAGTTTGGCACAGTTTTGAAGATTATAACCTTTACCAAAAACAACCAGTTCCAAGCACTGGTCCAATACTCAGACGGAATGACTGCTCAGCATGCAAAACTGGTGAGTGGCACAGCGGATCAATATGTGAATGGATGAATGGGCTGCTAAATCCCATCTGAACCCTGTAATCATTTGGCTTAACATTCAACAGTCTTTAGATGGACAGAACATCTACAATGCCTGCTGTACCCTTCGCATCAGTTTCTCTAAGCTCACCAGCTTGAATGTTAAGTACAACAACGATAAGAGCAGGGACTACACTCGCCCTGACTTGCCTACAGGAGACAGTCAACCCTCCCTCAATGCACAGACGATGGCTGCAGCTGCCTTGAGTAAAACTTGATTTACTACTTTATTGCTGTATTTTAATAAGTGGCATTTTTAACATGCATAAAATCACAAACTGCATTTTTCCTCTCTCAGCTGCTCCTGGTATCATCTCTGCATCACCATATGCTGGGGCTCATGGTTTTCCACCAACGTTTGCCATTCAGCAGGCAGCAGGTCAGTCACAACCCTTATAATAGATCTCTCTGGATTGCAGTGGCACAGTTTCTCAGCATATCATGTCCCTCCCACAGGTCTGTCTCTGCAGGGTATGCCTGCCGGGGCTTTCGCGTCGCTCGGTGTCCCTGGTGCTGCGGCAGCCGCCGCTGCTGCGGCTGCTGCAGGACGCCTGAGTCTTTCAGGTTATACCGCTGGAGGAAACAGTGTCATGCTGGTCAGCAACCTTAACCCTGAGGTTAGTCCCTTTTTTTTATTTGTTTAGATTCACTTAGCTGTTAGTTTGTTAGCCTTTTAATTCTTGTTTTAGCAAGCCAGATGCGATTTTGGTTAGTAGAACTGTAAAAATAGTTGATTTAAAAAAAAAAAAAAAAAAAAAAAACAAGTGTTGGTGGGAAATAAAATTAGATGGCATCTAGTGAGAAACAAAATACTTCTGTAGCTCTTCAAATCATGTGTTTATGACAGTGTGGAAGCTTATTTGCTATTATACAAACATGCATGTCAACCATTTCTTAATATTTTGCCACCTTGGAATTAAAAGGTTCTATCTGCCATTTTTGTCAAAAATAAGTTATTCTTATTCTGTGACAACTTATTTACATTATGTAGTGTTTTTTTTTTTTTTAGTTGTGTACATTTTGGGACTGATGTATGAAAGAGACTTGTTCCCCATATCACTATATGAAATGCAAAAACTTTGAAGTTCAATATCTCGAAACCGCTCAGATTGCAGATAGAACCCTATAATTCCAAGGTGACGATTTGTTGACTCTTGTCTGAAGCCATCTAAAACATTTCGTTTGTAGTATTTCTTTAGAGCTATGAGTATGTTTAGTCTCTAACTTTCCTGTATTTCATTTGTTAATCTTCTCTCCTTTCTATTTTTTATTTCCTTAGTGTTCCTATAGTGAAATGCATTTAATTTAGCAAGTTCTGCTGAGTGGAACACTACATTTTTCTTTGTGTATACTGACCTTGTTTTTTACTTCCTTTTTCTTGTTTCTCTCCCTCCCCATTCCCCTTCCCCCTTTTATTGTTTTAATACTTTGACCTGGAATCTTTTGCAAACTGACTACACCACTTTTGTTTTTTGTAATATTTTAAACTCCCTACCTACTCAATATGGTTCCCAATTCATGCCAATACTGGATTCATACACTTTGTTTTTCTGCTGTACAACCAACACACAACAACATCCCCAACCCACCACCACTACATTGTTGGATATCCTCCTCCTTTACCTCTACCCTTCCCCCACCTTTTCATCATGAACAATATCACCCACCTTCATGATCCTACCACCGTTTTTTGCCATTCCTGTGGAACTGCCTCGCTGTGGACATGTTCAACCTCCACTGTCCTGCCTCCGATCTTTTCCTGTCCCTTCCTCCCTACGCTGCCTTCCTCTGCTGTCTTAAGAGCGTTACGCCCCAATGCCTCTTTATTCTTTTCGGTATGTTATCATTGGCATCTCCTTTTTTTATTACCCTTTTTGTTTCATATTTTAACTTCATCTAAGATGTGTACTTTGGTTTGTATATGTGAAATGTGGGGTTTTAGAGGAAATTGCATATCAGCTGCAGCTTTTTGGGCTCTTTCATTCGGCAGATGCTAAATATCTATTGCCAACAGCTATATATCATGTTATATATCATGTTCATATTAGTTGCTTAGTTTGGAGACATAACAGCAAGTGGGCCAAGGATAAGTCCAGAGTCCAATTTTAAAGCCTTTTGTTGCAGCTTTTTGCCTATTGTAAATGCCATGCCTTCTCAAAAAAGCCATATTGAATATTGCATTTTATAATGTTAAAGCTGTATGTTTGATTCTTTTTTTTTTTTTTTTTTAGTCATCGGAGTTGAAGTACATATTTCACCCAAGTCCCAAATATAGTATTAAAACCATTCAAGATTACTTTTGGAGTACATCTTACCAAAAGAGACAAATCTGTGTTTGTTTTAATAGAATTTTGTAAAGGTAAAAAGCCTGGTCCAGTAGAGATGGGCCGAAATAGAAATTTAGTCTCTTACCAACAGTAATGTATGCCTTACTTGGCCATAAAATTACTTAATTGTCTAGATACTAAAGTGAAAAGTAGTCTTTGGTTGTAATCAGTCATTTGGTCATAAAGTAATCATGTCCTTATGTAGCTATCGTTATCTTTTGGTAGGTGTGTATGGTGATGTCATGAGAGTGAAGATCCTATTCAACAAGAAAGAGAATGCTTTGGTGCAGATGTCCGATGGAACCCAAGCCCAGCTAGGTATTTATGCTCTTCATATTTTAACCATTAGTAACTTGAAGTTTTCAGTGGAGCTTGATTCTGCAACGCTAACCTATCGTGGCCTTTTTAGCCATGAGCCACTTGAATGGGCAGAAGCTGTATGGGAAGGCTTTGCGGGTCACTC